TCCTGGCAGTTTTCAGACCCAGGGCTGTCCCTGGAGGGAGCGGGATCTGGCAGAATCGCAATTCTCCTGTCACCTCTGTGTCTTGGAGTGAAAACAAACATCTGGGCAGGCATTTGGGGAAAGATGTTGTGAAGAGTGACACACAGTTAAAAGAGGCATGTAAAGGGAGGAATAAACATTCTTTTCTTGCTTAGGAAACATGACAATTTATAGTCTGACTGTATGTCCCTGAGCCTTCACTCCATCTCTCACTTCCTAGTGGAACTCCCTCCTCTCACCTCTGTAATTTCCCTTATTGACGGAACAGCTAGGGAAGAGTTCCACAAAAATACAGGGACCTGGGATTCACCCTCGTGAACCACAGGTACCCCGAGAAAGCATGCACCTGTTTAAGTTGATGGCATGACCCTGCCCCTGACCTTGACGGATGTGAACCTATCATCGTGAGTTGCACGTAGGTTTCAGTAAATATTTGACAAGTGAAGATGCAGTCATTGTTGTTTCCATCCCACACTTTCTGCATTTGTGATCTCTTATCCTGATCTCCTGGAATGAACTATTCCGTGTGTTTACTATTAGTGATATTGGAGGTATCTAGCGGTACTCCCATTGAGCTAAATGTTGTATCTAATTACGTCATAAATAACATAGAGAATCTCAGGGAATTTGAGAAAGTGTATGGGAAGCTCATAAAGGACAACACTTTCTTCTCATTCATAAGTTACCACTTTGGAAGCATCCCATTATTATAGCAAATACTCATGTTAGGAAGCACGATGTACTAAGCTGAGAAAAGTTTCATATTCTTGTCATTTGGACAAATTGGAACAGGAAGGGCTTGAGCTAATTCTTTGTATGGGAGAGTAGCTGCCAGATATGATTTCAGAATGTAAATATTCAAGTTGAAGGTCCCTGTGGTCTCTGTCCTGCCCGCTCTAGTCTTTGCCTACTAACGCAGCCACAGGCAATGCATAAATGAAGAGGTGAGGCTGTCTTGTGATAAAACTTTATTTATGGGCAATTGAATTTGAATTTCATGAAACTTCCATATAGTACAAATATCATTCTTTTGATTTTTTTTTCTCCAACCGTTTTATTCTCTGGGCCTGCAAATACAGATGGTGGGCCAGATTTGGCCCAGAGGCCATGGTTTACATACCCCCGTACTAGAGCCAAAAATGAAATAAATGAACAAACCTAGTCAGAACAAATCGTGCAGTTGCCCTAAGTCTTTCTGGCCATTTCAAGTTACCAGGTTGTTTTGACCAATATCAGTGACCTCAGATTGGGGGAGAAAGGAATTGTATGTACTTCGATGGGTGGATTCTTCCACAACCTTCTTATCTCTCATATGTTAGAAAGAAGAGGAGGCTCAGCCTAGATTCGACCACACGTTTCACAACCTGGGATCCTGTATGCCCAGGGACATTAGCCTGGTCTCTCTGTAGACACTCTAACAAGTACTTTGCGTGGAAGATTTACTCTTCCTACAGCAGGTTTCTAAAACACTCTGGTGATCCCTCCAAATCTTCTCTTTCTCCGTGCTTGTCTATGTCTGTCTATCCACGTCTCTAGTTAACTCTCTGCCTGGGTCTGCATGAAGCTCTTGACTTCTTGAGGACACTACCAGTTCTATAAAATATCTGATACCGCATTGAATTAAAATGGTAGCCACTTACACGTGCCTCATGACCCTATACACACACACACATACACACACAGGCAGACACAGTGAGTTTGGTTTAAAGGGTCCCGAAGGGGTGCCTGGGTGGCTCAGTTGGTTAAGTGTCTGCCTTCATCTCAGGCCATGATCCCAGGGTCCTGGGACTGAGCCCAAGTCCAGCATCAGGCTCCCTGCTCAGCCGGGAGTCTGCGTCTCCCTCCCTCTCTGCCCCTCCTCCCCCCTGCTCCTACACACACACTCTCTCTCTTTCTTTCTCTCAAATAAATATATTTTTTTAAAAAATATAAAGTTGTCCTGTGAAGAAGTAAGTATCTTCTGTTTTTATTTATCACTCCACATAAAGTACTGATTGTCTTGGAGTGATTGGAGATTACAGTGCTTCCAACCCAATCTAATTTCATGAATGTAGATAGATCCATGGTGTTTCTTCCACAAATATCCCAAATACAGCTATTTCCCTCAGGTCATAAAATGTTTATTCTCTTTTGATCAGCTTGTCACCAAAAGTCCAATGCATTTTGCTGAAAACTCACTTGTAATGATTCAGAAGTGGAATGCAGCCCCGATGTACTAAATCTTGAGAAATGGTCATTCCATTTGCGAAACAATAGGGTGGGAAATAGAGGAAGGAGATTTTTGGAAATGTTTTATAATGATCGGAGAAAGGAACATTATGCAGAATTATTAATGCTAAATACCATTCAGTTTGGATACAGAGTTTTGTCCTTATCAGATATATATTTCATAAAAAGTAAATTAGAGATTTGTAGGTCATTTGCTTTTGATAAAGCCACTTTTGTTCTTTACCAGTGTCTTAACCTCCAGAACTCTGCTTTTTACCAGGATGCGAGTATCAAAATAACTTGAAGAAAAATCTCAAAATTCATCTTGGTCTATCCCTCCCCATTTTGGTATAGTCAGTACCTTCTAGTGAGAACCTATTAGGAACACAGCTGTAATTGAATAAGATACCTCTTATCCTCAAGCAAGAAAACACCATGGAGAACCAGGGGTTTCTCAGTGAGAGGGGCTTTGAAAGAATCGGTTATAGGACTTAGAGATTAGTTGGGTGGGTTGGGGAGGGTTCGGAGAACCAGAGCTTCAGCCTCGATTGGATTCTTCCAGAAAGGAGAGGTCAACCTACAAAAAAGTCTCTCAATACATCTGATCAACAAGGAGAGAGAGTAGTACAGAGATCCATCTGTAAATGGTAAGGAAATCCACTCATTTTGCCTCAGGGAGGAGATGTTCAGTACTTTTTGGATGACCTAGGGCTTTGTTTTTGTGTGTGCTTAAACAAAATTTTGAAGTGGCTTTGCTTTGTCTCATTTATCATGGTCTCAGAGTAATTTTGTCTGGCGTTGGCCTTCTGTGAGATGGTTTAGGTGTAATAGACTCTCATGACCTAGCTGTGAGTTGCCAGGCTGTCTTCTAAATGTCAAGGGCAGCCTGTTTTTTTCTTTCTTCATACCTCCCCCCTGCTCTCTTTTCCAGCACAGCTGTCGTGCCTACTACCTTTTAATGACACGTTTCCAAGTTTTTATTACAAAATATTTTCTTTGTACAGAGAAAGCAAAGCTAATAGTACGACAAACATCAGGCATCCATCAAACAACTTAGGAAATAAAAGATTGTAGATACAAGTATTTGAGCACTCTCTCAAATCCTAATTTCTCCTGGGAGGGAACTGCCGTCTTGAAGTTGATAGTTATCGCTCTCAAGTACAAGGCATTTTCATTTTCTTTTTTAAAAAAATATACATATGATATTTTATGGTCTCCCTCCCTTCCAGGAGTTATGGAAGATCTAACTTTAGTACACATTTGTTGTCATTTTTTTTTTTTTTTAATTCTGGGGTTGTTTTAAGTAAGCTAGACTAAAGCATCAAGTGACATAAACATGAAACAACCTCTACTTCATACAGGTCACAGGACATAACTTTATATAAGTACTGTTAAGCATTATAAATGAATTTTAATTATCACATCAAGTACTTTGTGCATTTGGAGTTCAGTGTCCTACAGTGACTTTGATCCCAGGGGCAATTTGTTGTTTCTGCTTACCAAGATGTTTGGTGGATTTTTCTTCTTCCCTCCACAGGTTCCACCAAACATTTTAACACTAACAGAACTGCCTCAATTGGAAATTCACATTTTATGCATTAATAGTCTATTTTAATTTCATGAAGCAGAGGTTTACTTCCTCCTTGCAAATAGCAAAAAAAAAAAAAAAAAAAAAAGAAAAGAAAAAGAAAGAAAAGAGGAAAGCAATATTGCCAAAGGAAGTGAACTGGTATATCCAGAGATAAAGATGTTGAATTAAATACTTGACTTTCATTACCTTTTACTTTACATTTCCATAGAACTTAAGCATTAATTAAATACACCAGGGCCTTCCTCCTTGCAGGAGAACATCTACTCTCTGACAAGAATTGTCAACTGAGGGAATGTTTGGCACATTAGACCTGCCATTGAAAACACACTCACTTTCCCCGAGAGCACAGCTGATGCATTCTGACAGACAGACAGGCAGAGCCAGAACACAAGGAATTATCCCCATCTTGTCTCACCCTCGCTGTCAAACAGACTGATGGGACTGAGCGTCTTTTGCGTTACTGGAGGTTTCCAAAGACAAGCACACTTATAACTGTATTATATCTCTTGTCACCTGGTGCCACTTGGTACATCTCAAATAAAAGCAGGGACATTGTCATGGTCTTCTGAGGTCCTCAATATACTTCCCCTTATATGGCAGGGACAGAAACCAAATATCAGGCGTCTTAGTCTGTTTGGGCTTCTGTACCAGAAATAGCATAAGCTGGGTGGCTTATAAACAAAGGGCACTTATTTCTCCTACTTCTGGAGGGCTGGGAAGTCCAAGATCATGGTACAGGTAGATTCCGTGTGTGGTGAGCGCCCTTTCCCTTGTTCCCAGACATCATCTTCTTGCTGAGTCCTCATGGGCCCAAGGGACAAGCTAGCTCTCTGGGGTCTGTTTTATAAGAACACCAATTCCATTCATGACCTCATCACCTCCCAAAGACCCCAGATCCTAATACCATCACCTTGAGTGTTAAGATTCGGCCGTACAAATTTGGGGGGGTAGGCACAAATGTTCAGACCACAGCAGGTTCAACTGAAGTTGATGTTGAATGTTGAGTGCTTGGGATGTTAAGTCCACTGAGGCCCAGATACGTTCTCAGGGCTGGTCCAAAAGGTTGCTGGACCAGGTGCCCCAGGATTGGAAGGGAATGTTGGAGAAGTAAATTCCCCAAAGTCCTTATCATCCCATCCTGACATGTACCTTCTCATGGCAGGGGAACACTTAAGAATCTGCCCTCAAGAGTATACATGCTGCACCACAGAAATGGAAGACAAGTTAAGCCAGCAAAGCAAACTTGAGTTTGAAAACCTCGTGGAGGAGACGAGCCATTTTGTACGCACCACGTTCGTGTCCAGGCACAAGAAGTTCGACGGTAAGTGGGATGACTTCTGCTTCTCTCTGTTCTGGGGGTGCCTTCCTTAGACTCTCGGTCTTCTGGGAAAACCATTTTTTTTTTTAATGCAGTATCTTTTCTTTCCTTCTTAAACATTTCTATAACTTGGTCTATATTTAGAAAAAGCATCAGCGTTCTTGACAACTTTTGTAGTAATATCTTAGAACAACCGGAGTTAACAAGGAACTGTTTTGAATTTGTGGTTTGCCTGTGAGATTTATTCTGAAAGATTTAGCTTAATTTTTCATGATTAGAGTGATTCTAATTCAGGTTTTGTCACATCATAGCTTGTCTTAATTTTTCATCTGGGGATTTTCTTTAAAATAATTAAATGTCATTTAAAATTATTTGAAATATAACAACACTTTCAAGAAGACAGACTTGTTTTCAGTGCTGCTGACATGGACTCCTTTATTTCAGAGTTTGCTCCTCCAAGAATCTAGCCACATTTTACATTGCGGTGACAGTATGTTCTGAGTAAGGTTTAAGTCCTCTATTGATTTCCTGATTATAAGCCATCAAGTTCCTTTCTATATTCTATTTGTTAAATAAACATTCTGTAGGAGAGAGCACAAAGAGTGAAAGTAATCATTACTGGGGTTTCAGCATTGAATAGTCTCATCTGAACTTCAGGAAAAAACCTTTTTCAAAAGCAATCTGATTTTTATAAACTGATTTAATAATGATAGTGATAAAGTTAATATTCTCAGGTGGTTGTGTAGTCTTTAGAGCTTTAAGAAAGGAATGTAATTCCTGTCGCTCCTTGTAAAGCAGACTTGCCAATTGTGGTGACCTTGCCTTGTACCATAGGGTCACACTAAGTTGTCCTGGGCCAGGAGACCCGCCATCTTTTCCCTCATCCTTTCCAGTCAATGCACGGTAAAGCCCGTTAGAAAAGGCTGGCCGAAGTTTGGATTTTCCTTTTTCTATTCTCTGCAACAGGCAAAATGTTCTGCTTCATTGCTGCTTTAAACTATTACAGTAACACCAATTTCTTTCATATCAACCCTCTGAGTTCTGAGAGACAGGTCTACCTGGTAGTGTTTTTAGTGCTTAAGGTGATGTGACGTTCTCCGTGGAAGTCAGTGGGACTTTATCTTTTCTGCCCAGTGTCCCAACATCTGCACCTTCGTCCTCTGCCCCTTACTCTGTGTTCAGCTTTATCTGTGGATGTGCATGAAAATAATTCCTTACTTAGAGGTGAAGCTGTGAATGTTGTTCCCATGAATGAAACTAGGGAGTACTTAGTTGTTCCCCTTGATTGACAGATTACAAATCCAGTGACATTCAGGAGTCCCTGTAGGGGCTCTGTGTTGGAGGAAATGTAATGTATCACTTCAGGTGGAGGCAAATTGAGACACCTTATGGTTTGCTACAGAAAGCAGGGAGAGTGATCTGGAGCTGTTGACTTTTACCTGTCTTTGGGAAATGATTCTCGTGCCTTTATTAAGCTGTACTCCAAAGTTGCAGTGAAATAATTCTAGGCAGCATTCATGACACACGTGTATATTTCCTTCAATAAAAATATTTCATGTAAGGTGGTTTTGTGGGGAGTGGATTGATTTTTTTAAATGTGTAAAGCCATTCAAAAGGACGGAGCCAGATACTTGTATTCTCATCTCAATGACTTTTAATATCTTTGAATTTAGAATCCTTGATCTCATCTAGTTGGTCTTACTAAAGAAACCTCTCTTCATCTTTCTCTGACTCTCTGTCTCTCTCTCCAGATGTGTTTTAAATTGTTTAAATGTACTGTGGGGCATTATGTCAATTGATTTGACAGGACATTGATTTTGTTAAGATTAGGTCTGACATGGGGGGTGATGAATTCTTTTCCTCATACTGCATCTCACCGCATTAGGCTGGGATGGGAGAGAAGTTGAGTTTTTGTGTTTTGTTTTTGGTTTTGTTTGTTTGTTTGTTTGTTTGTTTTTTCCCAAGGAAGCTATCAGCCAGCTTTATTTGTAAAACTCAACATGTGATCCTGGTGAGCTCAGCTTTTGAAGGGTTCAGTCTTTTAAAAAATAAGTAAATAAATAAATAAATAAACTATGTAAATAAACTCAAAGTTCCCATTATAAGTTCTGCTGTCTGTTTAGACAGTTTCTGGAAGGTCAGCCACACAGTTGTATGATTTACCATCTTATCCCGTGAAGGTGATCCTGCTGAGTCACCTTTCAGGAACAGGAGTGCATTCATGTGGCAACTGTCCATTTTTTCCCTTAGCTTAAGAAAAAAAAAAAAAAAAAGAAAGAAAGAAAGAAAAGAAAATGAAAAGGAAAAAAAGAAAAAAGAAAAAAGAAAAAAAAAAGAAAAAGAAAACAACAACAACAACAAAAACCCAACAGACTTCCTCATTGATGAGTATCAGTTGGTATGAGCACAGAACTATCTAGGATCAGTTGTGGAATGTTACCCTCTGAGTCTGATTTTCCCAGATACAATCAGTGGTATTCTGAAAGACTTGGAGTTTATTTTTAGGAGCTTCCAGTTCGTGAGTCATTTTGCATTCTTGCTGGGGTCTCTCGATCCAAAGTGTCCCTTTTGCATTTCTGACTCTGGTCCCACTTTCTCAGGGATCTTGACTTATCTCCTGGATTTTGCATGTTTTTATTGGCTATATTATATACATGACTGTTTTCCATGAGAAGGTGACCACTCCCTTTCCTATTTTCATTAAGTACAAGAACAATTTTAATTGCATCTGATACATGTGATTCTGTCCAAACCATATCCAGAAGGCTAAGTTCAGTCACTTTTAGCCATTAGTCTACAGTTGTCACTTTCCTTATTGTACTAGAAATGTTTTGATTCCATTTGGCTTTTCATTTTGTGGCAGAGGTGACTCTTAAAACTTGAAACTCCAAAAATGTTAAGATAACATTCTGTGTATTGCCATAATCTTTCCAGTTTTTATTAATATCTTTGGTAATATTTAGAAGAAACTGTATAAAATTATAACAATTCACTGGGTGCTCAGAAGCTAAGTTCGTATGAATTCTTCTCCAGCTTTCCTAAATGGACAGGTTTGGCTTCATACTCCCATTAGCCCTAAAATTTGTAGTTGAGAGGCCATAAATTGAAAAAATATATGTCTAATCTCAATTGCAGACATTCTCATTCTTTGGCAGAGAATTTTCTTATACCTGAGTAGCTTTTTCTTTTTAAACATAGGATTGAAATGTTATGACAAAGGTATGTAAAGTAATAGTTTATATTCTTGGCACTGATACTTTTCTAAGTGTCTCACAAGGTTTTGGCTAGTTGGGGTTTTTTTGTGGGTTTTTTTTGTTTTGTTTTTTGTTTTCTTCTTTCCCCTCTCTCTGGTCAAATCTCTGCCTCTGGCTCACATTATCTAGCCCTATAAGCCCATCCCCTTGCTGGCGGGACCTTGCCTACAAAGATTCCCTCAGAACTGTACAGGGTTGTACTCAATTTGCTCCGTAGCCAAGCCCAGACTTTTGTCACACCCCCAGGGTTACATCACAAGGACCATCCAGAAACACCTGGCAGAATGATCATAGCATTACACCTTTACTTCTCACCTGTCTCACCTCTGCCAAACACCCAGACAGCCAGAAGTGTGCAAAATAAATAAGTAACTCATATACAAATATAAAAAAGGGAGTGACATCTTTGTGCACCCACTCGTTTTCCCAATATTGTTGTGTGTAGTGACCCTCTGACCCGGTCAAATTTGTGTCTAAAACTCAACCTCACTCATGCTTCTAAGTGGCTCATGTGTTAGGATTCTAGGAAAATACACAACAACCAAACACTCTGATATTAGTAATAGTGATACTAGGGTGACACCTGGCCGTATTCCTCACCCCTTACAGATGTTCAGCTATGGACCAAAGTGAACCACAGAGCAGAGTTGCAGAGCTACTCAGTGGGAGACTCAGCATCATCGAGTCCTAGGCTGAGCCTTCCTGAATCGTCAGCCCCAGGACCCTTTGAACTATCCCGTGCTTTCCAGCCCCCAAATGTGCTAAGGTTTCACCAAGCCAGCATCTACTCATATGTCTCTTGTGCCTGTCCAGTCCCAGTGCTTGTGGGGAGGATGTGATGCTGTCTTTCAGAGACAAGTGGAATGGGACTTTTTTTTTTTTAAAGCTTAACAAAGATAATTACCCACCTAAATATAGTCTTGCTCCCAAGGAACCTGGGGCCTAGAGAGGGTAAATCACTTGCCAAGTTTCCACCAAGAAGAATGAAACCAAGACTGTAACCCAATACTCTTGACTTACGTCAGACTTATAAATAGTAATGTGATAGGAACTTGACATTTGCTTGAAATTCTAACTAAGCTTTTATTTGTTTCAAGTGGGTGCTGGCTCAGAATTACTGATATTCTTTTAACAAGGCAGTGATGATATTGGTGGGTAAATAATGTACCTATATTTTTGGAAAAGGCAGGAATAGTATTCATTTGAGTGTTGAGCCTTGGTTAAAGGGGAATGAACATTTTGTGCAAAAATGTTATTGAATCAATTAAGCCATGTTATTTATTCTTATCTCTTATCTTATCTTGTAGCTTCTATCTTAATATGGGTACCAGCACCCTATTCTCTAGGAATCTATATGGAATATGGATTATTCAGAGACAGAAAAATTTAGTTGAAGGGATATTTTATTTTGCTTATTTTTTTTTCTTCAGATTTATTTGAGCTGAAATTTATACATTTGAAGCTCGATATGGTTTTTTATTTGTTTAGTTTGTTCTTCTTGGTCTTATTATTTTACTTCCTTCCTGGTTTTTATTTATGCATTTTAATGATATACATTTGTCCAGAGATTTTTGGCAGCAAGTACATTTTTAAAAGCAAAAAAAAAAAAAAAAATTTGAGCAGTAATTTCCATCCTTCTGCAGAACTTATTCTGTAGTAACACTCAGAATTCTCATTTTACTGAATGTGGGAATAACATATACACAGCGACATAATATTTTTATGCTGCAAATCTGCTTATGTTTTCTT